TAACTCAAGTGATTGGGGCAGTTTATTAATTACGAGATCTTGCACAAAAGCTGCAGCGAAAGACAGTCAAATATCCAAAACTACTCAAAAGATAGTCGTTGCCAAGGGAGCTTTTTGAGATCCGTTCGATGATAGACAGTTGAATTAGGGTTCGAAGGGGGATACGCAACAATATGCAATAATTACCGTATACGGTACGATTGTAATCTCAATTCTTAGCGTGTGTGTTGTACCCAGCGTGGGGGGTACTTATAATTATAGTAGGTTCTAGGCTTAAAGGGATAAATCCCACCAATGGTTCATCGGCATTTAAATATGAGAATTTATTACATGATTATAATTACTGTGTCATCTGACTGATTACAAAGAGTTTACGACTTTTGTACGCGTGGGAGTCCAATTCAGGTCTGATCTATGCAGACCCAACCGTCCCTTACATAATGCATTGATTGTTTACATTTCATCACTTGGTCAGCATAATCCAGTTACGCTGGCAAGTGTCACGCTGACAATGCTGTATGTCCACATATTGAACAATAACGCAATTGACCAAATTTGGGGCATAACATGTGGACTATCATTTTCTACAATCTACTGTACAGAGTGTATGTCAATTGGTACCGTATAATTGCGCATTGGGGTGGTCATCCGTTCGAACTATTTATATTCAGCTTATACCGTATCATCAATGTTTTAATGAATTACCGTATATTGTACTAAGAAAATCTCGATTTTTACTGTATATATTGTAACGTAGAATATTACGTTATAAAATCTAACGTATAGGAAGTATCCACTTTATACCGTAGAATGCGGAATTGCAATGGCCATCGTTCAAGAATAGCGTATACTCCAATATTAACATGTACCGTATACGAGGGATTGAAAATATATGCATCCACTCATACAAACATCGAAATTTTTAATTTTGACGGTATGAATTGATGATACAATACAAACAATTAATATTCAATTCATACCGTATCAACAAGATCTTAAATTACTGTATATGGTACGAATGTAATCTCAATTCTTACCGTGTAAAATATTACTTTATAAAATCCACCGTACAGAGGACGTGTCAATTTGTACCGTATAATCGGGCATTGGAATGATCATCCATTCGAACTATGAATATTCAGCTTATATCGTGTCCACAATGTTGTAATAAATTACCCTATATTGTACCACTCACGTGGAAAAATTTATATTTAAAAAAATACTAATTTTGTCTGGCGTATACCCTTTCGGGTTTTTACGATTTATTCCCTTCCCACCCCCCAACCCCCTGTTGCCGCATTTGCCGAAGGACAAGAGAAAAGCTCATTTAAGGGAAAAACCTGCCCAGGTACAGTCGTCTCTTGCGAGTCTTATATCCTAAGAAAGCTTTAATCGTCGAAAGGACTAGTTTCAATTGTTACATTAAAATCAAAGCTAGAATGATTGAAATTTGTATTTATAGAACAACGCAAAGTTTATACTCTTACCTTTTCATTAAAATATTCAATTGTAGCTGGATTTCGACGGAAAATATTCGAAAGAAGGAAATTTTGTTGAGGGATAGGATTTAAGTTGGCAATCTTCACGAATCAAGAAATCTAGAGTTGTATGGACAATTAAATTAGATTTCAATTGTAATTCTGAGAACTATTCAATTTACAAAAAGATGAGTCTACAATTTACAAAAGTTCATATGTAGTTAATTCGAAATTCCTACCCATAAAATGATCCGAAGGATCTGATTCTAATTGTTTCACAAAATTTCATTACTCACAGTTCAGTTTCGGTTATGTATCGAAAATTTTTTTGTTTTTGTTACATGGATCCTTGGATGAAGTCGTAATTAAAAAAAAAAATTGTATTGTTTTTCAGCATAAAAAAATTGAAAAAATGCCGAGTAACCATTTCAATGCGTTGTTGTAGAAAAATGTCCGAGTACTTATTTATGGATAGTTGTTTCTGGGAAATTGAAAAAAGTGCAAAAATAAGGAAGAGCGCCAAGTTCATGAAGTTGAACTTGTCATTTTGAAAAACCACAGAACTTTTCATAAGATCTAGAAACAATTTCAGCTTTTTTCTACAGTCGGCTTGGAATGTTGCAAATTTTATAAGTTTACGGAGTGGGTACGACCATAAAAAGTATGGTTATTCACACAAAGTCAACGAAAAAGAGTGTCAATACGAGTGTTTCTTAAAATAAAAATTGTTCAGAAAATTCTCAGGACCAACGTACTTGGCGCGGTTTTTTAACTTAATGCGGATCCTTATTCGGGAGTCTTGTTTGAAATTTGAGATCCACTCTGGGACTCACAAAATCGCGTTGAAGCATACTACACCTTGCTAGGTGTTCTAATCTTTAGATAGTGAATTGTGTGATTGTATTGATGGATTGTATTGGACCAACGTACTTGACCGCGCCAAGTACGTTGGTCCTGAGAATTTTTTGAACAATTTTTTTTAAATAAACACTCGTATTGACACTTTTCTTCATTGACTTTGTGTGAATAACCACACTTTTTATGGTTGTACCCACTGTTTTTTTTTTTTTACGGCTTCGGAGTCCCTTTTTCAGGTCTCATTCGGCACTCTATCCAACCCTATGCATGCGGCTGTGGATTCTACACTGTACCGCATTCGCACTTCTATAGAACATAGAAGTAGCATGGGGAAACCACAGAAAACCCATGCCGGTACGGGCGGTTCCTCTATTAGCNTTTTTTTTTTTTACGGCCTCGGAGTCCCTTTTTCGGGTCCCATTCGGCACTCTATCCAACCCTATGCATGCGGCTGTGGATTCTACACTGTACCGCATTCGCACTTCTATAGAACATAGAAGTAGCATGGGGAAACCACAGAAAACCCATGCCGGTACGGGCGGTTCCTCTATTAGCAACCTCCCGCTCGCCGGAGCCTTCCGTTGAAAAATTCGGTTCCACGGGGAATCGAACTCACAACCTTTTGCACACTAGACTTGCGTCTAATCCACTCGGCCACCGACGTCGGTATGTACGCACTCTGTAACTCACAAAAATAAACAATATTGAGATAGCATTGATGAGTTGAAACTTATAAAATTTGCAACATTCCAACATTTGCAACATTCCAAGCCGGCTGTAGAAAAATTTGCCAGAAACAACTATCCATAAATAAGTACTCCGACATTTTTCCACAACAACGCATTGAAATGGTTACTCGGCATTTTTTTAATTTTTTTTTCTGAGTAACAATACAATTTTTTAAAAAATTTTCTTCTTTTGCTGAGAAACAATATAATTTTTTTTTGAAAAAATACAATGCTTACAAACGCGCACTTGGCCGGTTTTTTTCAATTTTTTTTTTGGGGGGAATTCAATTGTTTTTCTAAACCGAGTGACTCACGTCACAAGGAAAGACCCCAGATAATATGCAACATTATTTGGATTTACTTTGCTCCAAGAACAAAATATAAATATCCTCGGAGTTCCTTGGCCATCGCCTTTTGGCAACGGTTAAATCATCGATATGTATACACTCACTTGTTTATCTTTCAAGATATCGAGTACATTCAATAGCGAAGTGGTGAACCTGGGTAAATCGATTTTGACTTTTGTCCAGATTTTGATGAATATCTCAGAATCTAAGAGAGATAGAAAATTTTTTCTCATAACCTTAATTATAACCCTCAATGGGCTCTGCAAAAAAGGCCGTACCAAAAATTTGTCTATCTCTTTTAGATTCTGAGGTATTTGTCAAACACTGACCAGTAGTCAAAATCGACTTAACGCGGATTACCGCTTCGCTACTGAATTCACATTTTTTTGTATTCTCACAAACCTCCTACGCTCCATATCTCTTGAACAAATCACCGAAATTTACATAGTTCTCTCATAAATTAAATTTCAAAGCATCGTCACTCATGGATTCCCATGCAGAAAACAGACAGAGAAAAAAAGTGGATTAGCTTTAGAAACTAGTTTCTAGATTTTAAAAACTCCTGTTCTTAAGCTTTATCCTTGGTGGGATCATAAAAGTTAACCAATTTGGGAATTGTTTTCAATAACCGATGTTAAAAAATTGCGGCCATTATATTTAAAGGGCTTAAGCGCCCCATACACAGAGAGGGAAGACCAAATATCGGGAATTTCAGATGTATGGACGGATGATTTTGCAAAGAGGGAGAGTGGGGGAGAATTCACAACCAAAGAAATTGAGTCGTTGAGTTTTTCAAAAATATCTCAGAAACTATGGGACATAGCGAATTTTTACTGCAAAATTGGGAAAAAAATTTATTCCGAAATTAGAGGAGAGGGCATGTGTTACACCCAAAAAAAAAAAGATTAATTTAAGCTCCTCACAAGCTCAAATCAAGCTTTTCGGAAAAGCTTAAATTGAGCTTTTCGAAAGTCTTAATTGAAACTTTTTGACAAACTTAATTCAAGATTTTTGAAAAGGTTAACTTGAGATTTTCAAAAAGCTCAATTTAAATTTCCGGGAAACTTAAATTAAGTTTTTCAACAAGATTGAATTAAGCTTTTCCGAAAAGCTTGTAATAAGCTTTCCGAGAAGCTTAAATTGAGCTTTTCACATCTCAATTTGAACTTTCATAAAAACACGAATTAAGTTTACTCAATCTGAACTTGAAATTGTTTAAATTCATCAATGAAAACTTCAATTTTCAGTGAATAGGAAATACGCAGTTTATTTTTCTGGTATTAATAATATTATTATTGCATTTCTATGGATACATTTTAATCCTTACATGGTCAAATTTTTTTATCTTATCATTATCTTATTAATATGACATTAATCGATTCCAACTACAAACTAATCATATTATTTACAATGGTCCCTATAATAGTACATTAGAGTACAAGGGCACAAATTTCGTTTTCAATGAATGTGTAGTTTACAGGCCGAGCCGAAGACGAGGTCTGTACACACATTCGTTGAAAACGAAATTTATTACCGAGTGCTCTATAATATTTTATGTCAAATCGTGCAGAAGTCGACCTTTAAGCAGGCTGCGCGAAGCGTGTGATAAACTCGACTTATTGCACGGCGCGATATAAACTAAATTAGAGAACGTGACGAAAAGACACATATGACTTGCCATTCCCAGCAGTTCGAATATGAGTTGGAAGATGATTTATCATGTTATGGTAATCGATATACCCCCATGAATCTTTTTCTACGACCTCGTAAGCACAGAGATTTTCATTGAATGTCACGGTTTTATATCGTTTAAAAATGAAGGATACTTGAGACTGGTTAACGTCAGGTATAATGAACTTTATTTGAGCAAAAATGGGATGATCATCATGATCAATACGAATCACTAGTATCATTTCTTCGTGATATCTAGTCCCAGAAACTTCAATCCACTTCACAATGTTTATCTCTTTCATTTATGGGGGGAGATGCCACTTGAATTTTTTGGAATTATCCAAGTCTTGAACAGCACACACAGTAATCCTCAAGAAATTCAATTTTCGGTTTAATCCATCACCAATTAAAAGTCGATAACATAATTTTAATTGAGTTCTTGTGGCCAGTGTAAATGGTAAATTCCTTCGATTACGCGATGTTCAAGCGTTCTCTTTGAAACCTTTATGTTTTGATTCATACCTATAACAGGATATTCGGGATAGAGGATCAACTTCCCTGAGTACTCTTGGGATATGTAAGCCATGATGCAATTTAGCTGTTACATTCCAGGAAGGAAAGAGCTCCTTGAAAATAATTATTTTTCTGCTGATCAAATAACCAATATGAGGGATTAAATTCCGATTGACGTAGGGTGCGGATGTGAAGTTGATAATTTCTCTTGTCACAATGTATAGTTTCCATATGTCGTGGTCTTGATCGTCCAGGTGAACGAGATCACCAATGATTGAACCAAAGTGTCTGAATAAACACAGACATTCAGATGCAGACAAATGTAATTTTTTATTCTTGATATGAGCTCTACCAATGTGAGGAGGTTTGTTCCCGATTTCTGCCCAGCCATAATCGAAAAATTATATCCGATCATTCAGAATATCTTCTGTAAATCTCTTCCTTTCGAAGAGCTTCATAAGAATACCACATAAAATCAAATTCAACGTACCCTCATCCATATCGTGCATTATGTCCAATGTATGATTAACTACGACGTGATATTAATCTAAGACGTTGAAAATACATCGCTCTTTTATGGATGTTAATGAGTAATCATTGATGTTCACATCTTCTTCATAATTCTCTACACCTCGCAACAATTCTGGATCTTCTTGAGATTGATTGAGTGCATCGTTCTTAAATACTCTACAGATTCTACAATGGTAATTAGCCCTGAAATTCTCAACAAATCCCAGGATAGAGTGAAGGCCCAAATTATCTCCAATCACTAAACAAAGTGCAAAATAAATTTGATGAGACTCACCATTTTCATCGACAACTGTGATCCTATCTCTCTCTAAATGTATTAACTCCTGCAGGAGTAAACGATAAACATCTGAATTGCAGAACGATTTTTTATCTTCTGCATAGTGAATGGAATATGTAAATATGTTTTTTAGTAAACTTTGATGCTCTGGAGGCAGCGAAAGGATAGTGTAATATATTACCCCCAATTGATTGTCTCCCATGTGTGATCCTAATTCAGCGGTCTCAGCATCGTCAGTATAAACAACCAGTGGTAACACAATCTTTCCATGGAAAAGTCGTTTGATTTTTTTTTTCCATAGATCCCCCTGTACGAAATTCTCCATCAAAGGTCCCTCATTATCGTCCAATTCTCTCATATATGTTGAAATTTGATTGAGCACTCCTGGCAATTCTAGAAATGCTTTCAGGACTCTGTTCATAGGTATGTATTGAGCTGTTGAATCCATAGGAATGAGTGTGGTCTTCCCTTGGACACGTTTATCTTCGGCAGCAGATCCTAAAATATATGTCTCTGGCTTGATGAATTCTCCAGTACTTAGAAACATTGACTCACGTTTATGTTCTGTCTCTAACCCATGAAACATATTTTCATATTGTATGAAAAGTTTGACTATACTCTCACGTTTTGTTTTTTGTATTTGATCACATTGCATCAACTCTAAATAGTTGAAAACCTCCTGTTTTAACGTTTGAAAAATCCCAGTTTTTAGTAAATCGATATGTGTTTGAACGATAAATTGTATTTGTTTTTTACTGAGTGCATCATCATTATATAATTGTGCTAAATATTTCAGAACCAATTGAGTAATTGATGTTTCAAAATCAAAATTTCCCCCACGATTGCCCATTTTTCCTCCACTATATCTCTCACTTTTCCACTATTTTCTCAATCTCTATTCACGTCTATTACTACCTACTACTCTAGATTATTCATTTAAAAGTGATATTAATAGATATTCGATCAATTTAGAGCGTTCTTAAACGATCTATAAACGCCTGGCTCTCCAACTGCTTGTCATCCTCTTCTGTTGTGATTTCATAGATTTCTTTTTGCAACAAAAACCACAAATGATGTGACTCGGGAGGATAATGAGCATTAAACACGAAAAACGCTTTGAAGCATACGTCGAGAGCTTCTGTCACTGTTTTCAATTTATAAAAGAAATCATCAATGATGACGTAAACGGCATCGACTGCCCAGCGATTTGCACCAACGAAAAGGACATATGGTTGCACAGTGCTTCCAAACCCACTTGCAACTTTGTGGCGATCTGCAATGATTGGTGCCACTTGTCCAGCAACCTATTAAATAATAATCTTCAATTAATGTTTATCCATGATTGTTGAGGACAATGGATTGGAGCAGAAAATGTTGAAAGACTTCTTCCCTAACTAGATGAATTCTCCCCAAAGTTCATCGTCAGTTTTACACTCAAATTATTTATTATCAAGATGAGTAAATATCCAACTACTGATTTGATCAATCTGCTACTTGTTGAATCGATTCACCGTATTGGTAAATGTGAAATTACTTGAGTCATAAACAATTTCAGGGGAAAATTTCAATCAACATTTTTCACTCAGAATTTTTGTACATAAAAAAAGTATTCTATTATGGATTTGATTTTTTTCTATGAAATGTAACTTCAATTAAAAAATTATAATCTTTAAGGAATTGTTACGTCCCAAATGGATTACTCTTTTATTTTCACTGAGTTAAGAATTGATCTGGATTTAGAAGAAAAGATTTAACCCTTCTGGTCGATAACTCCAGGTGTTGAGGGAAGCTATTCCTTTAGGTAGGTTCTTTCCAATCGACTACTGCGCGTAGCTGACCAATCAAACACGATTAGGACACAATTGTTTAATTTAACAATATTTATTCAATAACAAATAACACTTGGGTTTATTACACTGTTCACTATTGTAGTCTTTGAATCTTATGATTTAAGTTTCACTTGATATTTTAAATGTTTTTTTATTTCTTCAATTTTGGTTATTTCAGTTGACTTCGATTATTTTAATAACACTGTGATTTGAGTCCCGAACACCTTGAATTAGGAAATAGGATTTCGGAGTTAGAATATTCACCGGGACTTGACTTGAACTAGAAGTTTAACTTAGTGTTTTGAATAAGATCGGAAGAGGTAGTTATTTCTACTTTCCACTTTGAAGTTGTAGATTGAAGT